CCAGCCGGCCCCGCCCCGATCAGCCTCCCACACCGATCAGGGACGGGGACGGCCAGACCCCACCATGCAGGAATTCGTTTACCGGACCTCTAGTAATAAATAAATGGGTTACTGTCTAAAAAGTAAATAAATAATGCTCTAGTCAGTTTTCTCAGTGGTTAGAGCACCAGCCTGCGGACTGAAGGGTCAGAGGTTCAATTCTGGTCCAGGGCACATACCTAGGTTGAAGGTAGATCCCCAGCCCCCCCATTGGGGCGGGTACAGGAGGCAACCAATTGATGTGTCTCTCGCATTGATGTTTCTCTCGCTCTGTCTCTCCCCCTCCCTTCCACTCTCTTTAATAAATAAATAAATACTGTGTAACAATGTGTCTATCATAGACAAACAAGATCTGTGGAAAAAAAATGAAGATACTTGCATAAAAAAGTTGACATTGAAAACTTTTTCTTTAAAATGAATTTTTTTACATGTAGAAAACTTTCACAAAAATGAATTCAGGAAAAAAGTCAACTGTGCGATAATCAGGGATTGTGTAAATCAGTGCTTCTCAACGGTGTGCATGTTCTTGGCTCTTTAAAGAATGTTCTGCTGGGGACCGGCTGCCTTACAATTAGTCACAATGTGAGAAGTGGAGAGATGGGAAGAGATGTATAACATATTGAAAAGCCACAGTGTGGCTACTATTCTATATTCTTTTGATTTGATTGTTTTATATACAATTTTGTTTCCAATAAGTCAGTCTACATCCTGTGAGAAAATTATGCTTCTTTGATCCCTAACAGCAGGCTTGGTCACTTGACTTGTGGGAGTAACATGCTACATCCAAGCAGACTCCACACAATTCTGCCAGCGTTCTTTCCCCTCAGGTATGAAAACACCATGTCCAAGGTAGGCGCTGACCTTCAGCCTGGACCCCAGGATAAAGAAGACAGAGGAAACTGAGTCCCAACTGACCTACATCCAATATGTACCATGTAAAGAAATAACAGGTGAGAAATAAACTGTTCTTATTGTAAGGCACCAATATTTCATGGTTGGTTGTTACTACAGATGACTAACAAACACTGACTAGCATACCCTGAAAGTAGAATGTAATGGCAAAAAAATTTATAAATCAAGAATTGAATAAATCAGAAATACTTGTATGTACTTAAAAAATAAATGTATGCTTCAAAAATAGTTGTAAAGGAAAAAGCTTTCTCTAACTAAAAACAGACAAAAGATGAGCATTATAACAAAATGTACTTTCACTCACTAAAATGTACCTGCATTCTATAATTATATTTATAAACATGAAAAAAGATAAAATAATTTCCTTTTCAGTATATTTCTTCAATGTTATCATATGTGATATGGTATATAAGTACTTATTAACCATTTTAACTGTTATTGGTAGTCATATTTTTAAACTGTTATTCATAATTATAAAAAATAATTTAAAAATTTAATGATTAAAAAAAAAAAAGAATCCTGTGCCAGTGGTAACACAGGAACAAATGCTTACTCAATTGATGAAATAAATTCAAATTAAAGCCCTACAGGGATTTCACTTTAACTTAATAAGGGAGCAAAAGTTAAAAGCAAGCTTGTTAAAATTCAAAACAGCAAAGCCAAAGGTTTTAAAACATTCATTAGTAAATGTTTTAATTATTGCTGTTTTACAACTTTAGTAATAAAAAGAACTTTGAAAAATTCAGCATGACCACCTAGTCATACCTTGTATATTTGATCGCCATCTTCTGGTTCCGGACTAGATGGCAATGATAGCTGGATATCATGTAATGATCCACTCCCATCATGCTGTCAGAAGGAGGAGAAGGAAAAGAGAGATTAATACATAACTGCGGGCATTCAGTTAACCTCAATTCACCCCAGAGCAAATGCTAGCATGGCAAAGAACAAATAGAAAACAAGTTGTAGAAATCGCCCTTTCATCTCTATGCACTTGTAGAAGGAAATGTGGAAGAGCACACCTGGCCAGGTGGCTCCATTGGTTGGAGTGTCATCCCATACATCAGGGCACATACCTAGGTTGTGGGTTAGATCCCCGGTCAGGGAGCATATGGGAAGCAGCCAGTTGATGTTTCTCTCTCTCTCTCTCTCTCCCTCCCATTTCCTCTTTCTAAAATCAATAAAAACATATCCTTGGGTAAGCAGTAAAAGGAACAAAAAAATGTGGAAGAGGAAAAAAAAGAGCTAGGGCAAGAAAAATTTGTAGAAATAAATAACATAATATACTAGAGGCCCAGTGCATGAAAATTCATGCACTTGGGGGGGGGGGGATGTCCCTCAGCCTGGTCTGCTGCTCTCTCGCAGTCTGGCCTCCCTCTGCAGGAGGTGACCTGGCAGGCTGATCAGGGGATGGCGCCGGCTGGTGAGCAGTAGCTCCACCCCCCCCCGTCCCACATCCCTTCCACCGCTGTCCCCTCCCTCTGCCCGCTGGCACGCGCCTTGGCTGGCCTGGCGCCACCTGCTCGCCAGCCCCACCCCCCGCTGACCATTCATTCTGTTGTTTGGTCGATTTGCATATTACACTTTTATTATATAAGATGAGTAGGCGAAGCAGAACACCTCTGAAACTTTTAGAATGGGAAAAGAAATATGAGAAATTTTCTAAAGAATTTTAAGATTCTCTCACCAATGAAAAATGTAAAATAAAAGTCAAATTAAATCTGCTTTGGTTTAGCTGTGGTGTTCGGGGGTATAAATGAGACAGAAACAGTAATATTAAGTAACTCAGCAAGGATTGGCCATAAAAACCATTTGATTAAAAATACTAGATACATGAGTATATATTCTGCATCTTATATAAAGTCTTAAAACAGGCAAAACTAACTAATGGTGTTAGAAATCAGAAGAACAGAGATTGACTCAGGGGAAGAGGTCACTGACTGGGAAGGAGCACTAAGGAACCACCAGGGTGATGGAAACCACATGCAGGGTGGGTGCGTGGTCACATGCTTATGCAGAGCCCCAGCTGTAGATTTAAGATTGATATATGTTAAGCAGTACTGGACGTATGCTATACCTCAATTTTTAAAATTTGAAAAAATTAAATTTTTTGTCCTTAAACACAATAAAGAAAACGACAGGATAATATTAAGTCCCTTGCCAAAATGGTTTGAGAACAACCAGCTAAGAAATGCATGTTCAATGACTCACAGACAACCTCAAGAATGATGAACCAGTGAAGAACACACCTGGGATATGGGGAGAAGCTGAGCCCCTCATCGAGGCAGGAAAACTGCGGGTTGGCGCCGAGTTTGTTCAGATGGAACCTAGCTACCTTGGGAAACCCAGGGATTTGACAACCTTCAAGGAGCAATATGATCGCAATCTTCTCAGACATATCTGTCCTAAAGGAAATCCCCCAGACCACGGAAATGTCTGGCATTGAAACAAGAGTGCCAAAACAGGAGACATAAGCATGTAGGTCATTTTCTTCTTTATTTATTGTGCTGTACATCTACTAAATCAGAAGCTAAAGGGATGGGGCCTAGGAATGTGTATACAGAAAAGTTCAATTGGTAATACTGATTGATAGTGAAAAAATAAGCATTTGCCAAATTTCCAGCATAAATGACATTTACTGGTGGTATCACATGGACATCCAGAATTTGACTTGAGAAGGGAGGCAACGACCTAATGAATAACAAATATTCTCAGAACAACACCTTAAAAAATGTTTTTGGGGTGTTTTTTTTTTAAAGAAAAATTTTACAAGACTCATGTCAATAAAAAGTTCAGCTCTGCTGTAAATGCCTTGACATATAAAACCAGGGCCAGGCCTACATACAAGTATATATTTGAGAAAAGAGGGACTCTAACACTGGACTTAATTCCAAACATCAATAGGATCTTTCTGCCCATTGCAAAGCAGGAACCTCAAGGAATGAGAGGGACACCATTTTGCCTTGAGTGTGTGTGTAGCTGTGGAAAGTATGCAGCAAATGGGAAAAGTGAACATCAGTTTTCAGGGGGAAGGAAAATCGGGAGTCCAGGGACTCAGATACCACCAGGGAGGGTGCGAAGTACCAGGAGCTCAGGAAAGCGACTCCAGGAAGTTGTACGTGAGTTTCTAGATCTCTCCTGAGCAGCACTTCTGAGATCTGATTCTAAACATCAGATCAAACACTGAGCAATAAACGAAGACCACCGCCCAGGACCCAAACTAGCTCTGCAGGGGTACACTCAGAAAGTAGCTGTAGAG